CTGGTAACTTTTGTATGGACGTGATACGCTTTCAAATTAAACGGACTCACTTCACACCGATATGTAACTGGATTTTAAGTTACATGTTTATTGGACTTACTGTGTTTGTTTTTTTTACGTTCTTTTAAAGTAGTTCTAGTAATTAATGCTGCATAGATCTTGTACCTAAATAACCGATTTTTTTTTGCAAATAGAAACACGGGATATTTAAAGAGACTTTCCCAAAGCGCAAATATTGGAAAAATAAAATTACGAAACATCAGGAAAGGAAGGAAAATAAAATTGTACAAGTTTCAAAATATTACTTCGTTCGTTCGTTCCGTTCGTCACGCCATAACTTGATAATGACAGTACCAAATTCGATAATTCATATTTTATTGTGTCCACTATAGCTACGGTATGATTTGAATGAAAAAAAAACCGACAAAATTTACTGAGAAATTCATAGAAAAAACACTCATGCGAAGGGTGGTTTTTTGTATTATATGTTATGACAGGGTTAATATTATATTGTACTATGTCTAGTTAAAGCAATAACATAAGTTCTGGTCCTAAACTTAAGTTTCAAATGCTGGTGAGAGTAATTTGAGATATGTGTGTAGACTTCCAGTAAATGCTAAAGTCCAACAGTGAGCTTCATAAAGTAGACAAGTTTGAGGAACATTGTAATATGTTAAGTTTAGTAATGGTCTAAAATTAGGCACTAGCTGGACCGCTGAAGAGACAGACATGAAATAAGTTTTAGGATATAATTTTATTTTAGTGCTAGTTGTGTATCACGGCTTTACCTGTGTATACACAGAAACATGTTGTCAATTTTTCTGTTCAGCCTGCTATAAGTATCTCCAGATACAAAATTTCTAAAAAGTCACATCGTTTTCCACATATTTTCGCATCGAGTATTAATAAGCACAATAAATAATTTGTATATTAAGATGATAATGATACCGAGAAAAAAATCACAAACAGTATAACATTTCTATTAATTTTTTTAGACTCTTATTGTTGATCTGTTTATATTTTAAGTGTTTTTGTTATTTATTTTATGAGGTTTTTAAGGAACCCAAGAGAGGAAAAGAACCTTTATAGGATAACTTTTTACTGAAACAGTTAACTGCACCGTAGAGATATAAAATTAAATATCAAATACTTGTACTTAAATTCCGCCATTCCAAAACAACATTTTATAACTCTGACAAGGGATTCAAATTCTGAAGCAAATATACTTTTCGTCTTACTTTTACTTTAGAATCATAAAACTTGATGAAAAGCACAGTAAAGGAAAAGTCTTGCCGCCAAAGTTTCGACTTTAACTTCTGACAATGACTGTATTATACTTATAAAAAGATTTTAACTGATTTATTCAAACAATAAATGAAAAATATTATTGTGAAATTTCTCCGTATTCACACGAGAGTAATTATTCAATTCATTTTTCATATATTTATTTAAAGTTCTCTAAAAAATACATTTTTATACACTATTTACAAAAAAAAAACAAAATAGGAGCAGATCAGTAGCAAGAGCATGGTCCAAGCTACCAGTGGTTAGGGCTCCAGAGACAGAAACCTCCTCACGATGAGTGCCGTTTCAAGGAGAAACTGCCTTCCGATCAGGCCCTTGATTCAGCCGCCTAACGCCTGCGGATATCGAGGCTTATTTTAATTACTTTTATGGTATCAAAATCGAAAACAACTCAAAATTTCGTCTACTTTCCTAATCTAAATTTCAACAACGAACTCAATAAAATGAATGCACAACATAATAAATGGCCAGTAATGTACAAAGCGATCCACTCATAAACACGTCCCATAACCACTCGTGCAAATGAAACACGAGTATCTATTCTGACCGTAACCAGATTAGCTTCGGTGTAACAAAAGCCTTTGACTTGAAGCTGAAAAGGATCTTCATTAAGGCGGACAAATGAGATACCGTTGGTCGATATTACCGAAATTAGTTTCAGTATTTAAGAGAAACGTGTTCCTTCACACCGAATGATTTATTTGTTTCGGTATAGTGATTTTGTGGGGTCTTTATGGCCCGAGATGAATTTTGTTTTTTGCTGGTGTTTCTGGCTGGTTTAATATGTATTGTGGTTTTTCTTTTGTTTTAATGGATTAAGTTGATTGATACGAGGTCATTGCTACAAGCTGCTTTTATTCGAATTTTGACATACCCTACTGTATATTATAAATGCGAAAGTTGATATGTTTGTCTGTTACTCCTTCATATCGAAACGGCTGAAGGGATCGAGATGAAATTTGAAACAGGGTCAAAGAGTAATGGTCTGGAATAACACATAGGCTATTTTTATCACACGGAAATACGGGTGAAGCCGCTGACAGAAGCTAGTATGCTATAAAGACATCTCGATCAACAAAACAGAAAATAAGTATTTTCTTTTCTCTAGACAATATTTGCATAGCAACCCTAAAGTTCCAAATATCTATTAGCAAAAAGATCGTTTCTATCGAGTAAGTATAGGTCAATGCAAGAGGTCATAAAAATAAGGCTTACGATCAAACTAAATGGCTTATAAAAAAGCCATCAAAAGAATATTACTGCAATGTCTGATAGATTTAGTCTTCGATAAGCTCGTTTTACAGTAATCTTTTTAAGATGAGGCTTTCTTTTAGGTTATCTTAAAAAGATTACGTTTTGGAGATTAGAATACGTTTTTATTTTGAAGATACTCTATATTGACTAAAGCTAAGGACTCACAGCGCGATCTTCCTCGCGTTGCGGGCCTTCAGCCTTTATAGAATGCAGATATTTACCTTTTTTTTTTTGTTGACGGGGGCAACCTTCCATAGGCGCCTAGCTTTTTGAGGAAAAAGACTAGGGAGTGTGGGATTTTTACCTCACTAAAACCTCCCCGGTGGCCACCATCCGCACTTGAAGGGGGCACCGGGTCCTCTTAGTAGACCAACTCCAGAGCCCCCACAGTGCAACGCCTGTTACGGCACCTCCCTATGGAGACTTATGTGTCTCTCCAAGAGCCTCTCTGTGCACTGCACGGCGGCACAGTGGTCACGTGCCGCCGTCATCCTTGAGGTCATTAGGTGGGCTCCTAGATTCCCCACTCTATGCGCCCATGACCCCAAAATACCTATGTCAACCTATGTAAAAAAAAAATCAAAGCAATTTTCACGGCGCGTTTTACGCCCGCGGCGGTTGCGATTGTTTACTGCTCTCAATGCACCGGAGGGCGCAGCGGCGGTCCCACAGCCGCGGCGGCTATCACCCGCGCGTTCTCGGGTGGCGGGCAATCGCAAAGGGACAGCCAGTTTGTGAACTCATCTGATCATTTAATCACACGCCCGTCTTGCGATAATCAATCGCCAAGTTTGCGAGCGATAATCGCAACCGCGGCGGCTGCAGGATCGCAGAAAAGTGCGATCTCGTGAGTTTTGAAAAATCCGCCTCCATACCGCCACCGCGGCGGGCGTGGGAGAAGATAGCACCATGAGTCCTTAGCCTAACTGTCCGTTTTGGACCCGGAGCTTAGTCTTACTGAGGACTGGCTTTTAGACTCGCCTTTTGGAATTGGAAAACTACAACTGCAAAATTATTGACGAACAGTGCGTATGTAATGTGGTTTCTGCTTTTTATCAGTAAAAAATTACAGGATTGATGTAGAAATGGATAGCATTTAGATGGAAGTGACCTTGAAAGACCTTTCCCTGCTTTTATTACCATATTTTTACTAAAATTATTATTTTTGGTAAGGTAGTGAACATTTATGTCTACGCCGCAAAATTTGTTAGCCATTCCCGTTTCATATTTTCAAAATATTTTATTCAGTACTCCAGTCTCTACATCAAAATTTAGTTGCGAGGCCTGTAAATCTTATTCCCACAACCGAGTAGTTGAAACTAAACATCTGTTTCTATATTTTTTCCTAACAAACATTCAGGTTAACTGTGTTTATTTAATCCTTAATCGCGTTTATTTTAAGTCAATTTTTAAACTAAATAATGTCTAAAAAGTATTTTAAATGAACTATAAAAATTCACATTGAATTTCTTTATTACTATTTTTGTATGAAATTCATAAGAAGGTGGTATTGATTTATAGTAAGATCAATTTAGCACGTTACATTTATAACTTTATTTTTATTTTTAGGTATTTTGAAATAACTAAATAGTGCTGCTACCAATAATATGTATATCAATGTTGTCGAGTTTCAAATAGCAATGAATACTTAAATTTGATAGCTGTATAATTTATGTAACACAATTTATATTGAAAACCATCGCATAAATCTTGACAAGATCCATCTATTTGCTTAAATTGGTTGTATTCTGTTGAACTCCTTACCAGACCCCTAACTGCATACTAAAATGTGCAAAATGGAAGTTCAAGTTACATTTTGCACTGCAGATTACGGAGCCTCGTGGCCAAATTTTCTCATTAGATGTTCCATTTTGTTCTTATGATTTGCAAATGCAAATTTTCTGGGTCAAGGAAGGAGAGCATCTGAGAATGCAATTTAGTAAAAGATTTATGAATAGAATTGTAGATGAGTCACGATTTTAATTAAATTTGTTCGTTGCTGATTAAAAATTTTAATATGACGTAAAGGTCGTAAAAAGGGAAATTCGGAGAAACGATAGGGTTAATTTATGTTTCTTCATGTGTTAATTCGGTGGGTTAAAAAACAGAAACTTATGCTTTGAAATTCTAATGAAAGTAATGTTAAAATGTTATAAATTTTTTAGGTATTTTCTGTATCTTTGTTTTCTTTTTTATTAAGTGTTGCCCCACATTAAGATTTTGTCCTGTATCGTGGATGCGTTTACAAACATATTAAGATAACAAACTTATACAAGACGCCCAGATCCGAAACAGCAATTAGTGGATCATACAGAGTTGCTGCCGTGCGGGAATCGAACCTGCTACACGTTGCGTGGCATTCGTAATAAGAATAAAAATTACATCGTATTTGGTTTAACTACTTTTTTAACTAGAACATATACCTAATTAAAGCTACTTACTTGTCATGAAAATGCTTATTGCTTGTAGCATATGAGTCAAATATGTAGTTCAGCATTGGCGAGTCTACTTTCCCTTGCTTCATCTTCCTTGGCTTGCTGGTGACCCTGAGGTTTCGGAAGACTGTTGGTGGCGGCGTCATCATGGTGGAAGCTGGCGGGTTACTCGGTTCTGTTGCCGGTGGACCTTGGGAGAAATTGTGGTATATTAGAGGTGGAAGATTGTATTCAAATTGCAGAAAAAAATTGATATTTCGTTATTCCTATTATTATAGTAGTGGTAAGCGGTTTACGAATGAGCCGTGGAACGCCTAACGGGCTGCCGGGGCTCCGGGTTGAAGTGCAAGAGTAGGAACGAGGTGGTTTTAGTCAGTAAGAGACTGACAAAAGTACACTCCCTCTCGCAGTACTTTTGGGTAAGCCCATGGCGAGAGAAGTGATTGTATAATTTTTCCCCCAAAAATGGGCCCAACAAATGGATGTTTTCAGCAAAAGTAAAAAAGAAAACCTATTTAAACTTTTACTTTTGATATCATCAGAGCAAAATTAAAAACTATATGAAGAAATGTATCAGACTTTCTATTGTTTTTGCAAGTTCTCAAGCGAAAACTATGGCGGTATCGTATTTTTTCATCATAAATGTGAAGTGTTTCAGAGAATCTTAGGCATAAAAGCTTTAAAAATACAACTAAAATACGCCACACTTCAAATACCGTTTAATAGTAAAATTTTTGTACCTAGTTAACTCTTTATTCGTGAAAATGTTAACAAATGACATTAACCTTTGTTAATGTTAAAAAAATTAACCGTCTGATGTTGAAAAGGACAAAGTGAATGTCTTTTGCAAAACAAACTGATTTATTACCGAGAATGGGTTAGGGCAAAGTATTAATGGTAGTCCTAAGGTTAAGGGAAAAGTATTAATGGTTTAATTAAACATTACGTTCAAATAATTTGTATGCTGGCTAATAATGTATTTTTTTTATTGGTTATTTAATATAATTTCAATGCTGAGTCGTATGACTGCGGTAAATGAGAGGTGCATATCGTCTATTATTTGAATACCGATTTTTTAAACGAAATTTTAACAATAGAGTAATAGTTTAATCACTAAGAATGTAAGATTAAAAAAAAACTGTTATTAGATGATGTACCTAAATTAGGTGTTCTGTAGTGGACCTTGTTACATAATAAAGCATTTACAAAAGTAGATATGTACCTACCTTTTGAGGATAACACGACTTATTTGAATTGGCATAACCTTAAAATTAAATTTCGGCTTAGAGCTCAAATCTAGCAAACACAATGAATTAATACTTCTATACAAATAAATAAAATTGGAGGGTCTGTTTGTAGTATTGAAATGACTGCTTTTCTACTACATGCATATAAATATAACTACGATACCTATATAAAAATAACATATTTTAAAATTTTTAACTGTCTACCTGTTTGTACTGGCTAATCTCTAAAATGCCTGGACCGATTTTGACAGGAATTTTACTGGCAGGTAGCTGTTGTATGTACTAAGGAGTAACATAGGCTATTACATTTTTATTTTGGAAAATGAAACAAAAAATAATTAGGTCTTAAAACTATTTTATCAACCCCAACGTCAAAGAAAGCAAAGATGTTTTGCAGTTTACTTTCAGTGCTCCCACAGTAGCTTGGTTCTTGACGTGGCCCTATTATCCTCTAATTTTATAAATTTTATTAGAGTTGTAGTTATGCTATGCTAATGATGGATACAATGGGGTTGTCATGTCCTATACCTAGGATAAAAACCCCGTCCAAAATAAACTGAATAAAAAAAAAAAAACTATTATACGTGGATGAAGTCGCAGCTATTTTTAAATATTATCTTTTGGCATGCATAAGATGTAATAGCTATTTTCATAAGTGACAATGACAAGTTAAGACTTGTAAGTATAACTACCATTAGAATATTATTATTCAACCTGAAATATAAGACATCTTTATACGAGTACATACAGATAAGGCATATGTATAAATATACGTAACTTTACTGTTTACTGAGACAATAAATTGTTACCAACGCAAGACATATGAAAAAGCCACGTAGCACTGCTGTAAGATATAGAACCTTACAATTCTGTGAGACATGTAGTATGTCTGCTGATTAAAGGAGGTTGGCAGGAGAAAGATAAAGATATACGTACAGAATTACTTGCAGTATATGCATTTTATACAAAAATAACTAGAATAGCCAGAATAGTTTAATATTTGTAATCATTTTCCCGGGTCAGACTTCAAATACTATGTCTGATTATTCAGATAATTTTTCAGTAATTACACCCATTTTAGTCTTTGGAAAATTAAATCTAAAAATACAGAAAAATTTAATTAGAGTATTTGTTCGTAATATTAATATATAGAGGTATACAAGGTGTTGTTTTAAAGCCGCCTCATTTTCTGGGAGGTAGCTCGGATATCGATTCTGAGTCCGAATCAATAAAAAAAATTATAGGTACCTAAATATTTTTCATTTTTTATAAATTACGGAAATCCATAAGTGCGAACTACACGCCGCCGTCTTGTAACTAGCTTTATAATACGGCTTAACACACACAAACTAAAACACGTAATTGATATTAAGTATTCCTAATTCCATAAAACTCCAATAAGAAACATTGCTGTCGCTTATTCTGAAATACTGTCGAACTTAAACGATTTATTAGGGTAGCCGTATTTTTAACTATTGGCCCAAAACTTTATCTTACATTGAACCTTAATGACTTCTGTGACATGTCTCCGAGAAATGACACGGCTTCAAAACTACACCTTGTATATATGATACACATTACAATTTTTGTTTTACTGTCTATTTGTCTGTTTATACTGGTTCATCTCTGGAATTACTGGACCTATTTTGCGAGGCTTCTATTGGCAGGTAGCCGATGTACTAAGGAATAACATAGGCTTTTAGACTGTTTTGGAAAATTAAAACAAAAAAAAACAATCATAAATTCATATTATACACAGACAAAGGCGCGGGCAACAACTAGTACTTATTAAAAAAAACTATGTACTAATAATAATAATATAAGCTTTATTGTACACCAAGGTAGTAATTCTACAGTATCAGGAAATTACAGAAAATAAGGAGGGTACAAGGGCGGCCTTATCGCTAAAAGCGATATATACCAGGCAACCTTTACTATTACGTTTGTCTTTGCCAAAATCACACAGTTTTATTGGCTTCATTTCTATAAAACTTTTTGTTATATCTGCTTTTAATTAATCGAAGCGGAGGTAGCGGAGAAATGTAGTACCTATGACAATGTATGTAAGCCCTTTCTTCCATGACATGGACATTCTAATGCAAGTGATGGCCGTGAATCGTCACCAGTTCCCATTATACCACTAAGCAACATTACTAATGGATATTAGAACAATGGAGGAATTAATATTATCACCGTGTCGTTGACAATGCGATTAATTAATCAGAATATTATTTCGTCATTATAGGACTCTGTTGGTTTAGTGTTTTGATGTCGGATGACAATCTTAAATTATAATGGATATATAATTTGTTTGTATAGGTAAATGAATCTTCATTTGTATCTAAATGTCAAAAGCTATGTATTGTTTGAATCGAGTAGTTATTTGGAGTTGGGTTTGACAAGAATGGTATTGTGTAAAATAAAATTATATTATAACTTAGACCTGATTTTAAAATACTCAAGAATAAATTGATCCACAAAATCTCGAAATACACATTATTTGCAAGGAGATTTCGAACTGGACCGTACCGGTCCTAAATTCCTATCATATTTTTATCTTTTTTCTTGTCTCATCTTTTTGCCAATTTTATTCTTCTTGGTGCCATTGAGATATTCGAAGCCATGGATGAATTTAGTAAAGTAATTATGTTGTAAATTATAAATTCGATGTCAATGTCGATTCGATGGGAATGGAATTAACTGATATAATAATTACCTGTGACGTTAGCAAAGGGGGCGATGGCCCTCGTGAGCACCGCCATTAGCAGCACGATGCGGTGCATGCCGCCGCATCCTACCCGCTCAGCAGGCTCGCTGCGAACAAAAGTAAACCTTATTTTCTATCCACATAGGATTCAGATTTCTAAAAAAATAATTAGTTTATAAGAGCTAACTAGTCAAACATTTGGCATAATAATTTTGCGCAATAATTTCTGTATTTATGATATTAGTTTTCCACTTTTCTCTCGATTATGCTTGCCTTCGATTAAGATCTGGATATTGAGTGTTACTGGTAGTTTATCACATGCAGACTGCCTGATCTAGAATTGTTCCTGATGTGTGGCGCTTACTCCCGTTATTAGCTTACTAAATATGGTTTAGTGAATTAACATACCTAAACATCTTTTATAACATAATAACATTACATCACGTCTTTTATCTCCAACGGGGTGTGGGCTCTGCCTTACGGCACTTAATGCCACTGTACAATGTAACACCCACTTTTCACTATTATGTTATGAGTCCCACGTAATAGGAGGAAAGTCTATTACCATACACCAGGGACAACTCCAGACTCCGTGCTCCTATTGAGATTTTTTTTAAAACCCAATAATACTTTGCCCGACCCGGGAATCAAACCTGACACCATTTGCCTGGCACTTGCGACCACTCGGCCAACTAGACAGACATCAAATAAAAGGTACAATAATAATAATTAAATAAGTCAAATCCATAGTGTATATACCTATACATTCGTTTATCTCCTTTTTATATAGTTTCTACCTCTTTGACCAAGTGGTCGCAAGTGCGACTGCCGGGCAAGGGGTTTCGTGTTCGATTCCCGGGTTGGCAAAGTATTATTGGTTTTTTTTTAAAATCTCAGTAGTAGCGCGGAGTCTGAAAATGTGCCTGGTATATAGCAATCGGCTCACCCCCTATAACATGGGACTCATAACATAAATATTGAAAAATGGGTGATACATTGTACAGTGGCATTAAGTGCAGAAATGTGCACCTCTGCCTACCCATTCGGGGATAAAAAGGCGTGATGTTATGTATGTGTATATAATATAGTTTCCACATTTCCCGTCATTCAGCTGATATCTAAATCGATAGGTCATCCGGCCGTCCCAGTTGCACTGATTTGGCAGCTGTCTGAGCCATGATATTATGCATGGCTACCAAAATTGAGCATTATTACAAGTGCATTTTACTTTATCAGTGTTACGTACAATTTAATAAAAAATATTGCGTGGCCCTTCTTGTTTTAACCGACTTCAAAAACGGAGGAGGTTCTCAATTTTTACCTGTATGTTTGTATGTTCATTCATCACATAGTTACACATAAATTGGAGACCCAAAGGTTCAATAGGGATGATGACAGGGTACGAAAATTATAAGTCTAATTAGTCCGTCAGTTAGGTCATAAAAAAATATTAGACACGTATTTTTTTTTGTGTAATAAAATGATACTTAGATATAACGAATCAAAGTACGTATAAAATGTACATAGAAGATCGTCACGCGACATTTCAAATCAATATCCTCTCGCGTGTTTCTCGTACACACGGGTGTACAAGAAACGCGCACCGATTGGATATTTTTTCTGTGACGTATATTTTCAAGTTTGCAACCCGTTCTTTATTTGATTGAATAGAATAGTTAATTCGCTTTCCTATTAAAATATTTACCCGTGTGTACGAGAACGCGCGAGAGGATATATTGTCGAAAGTATTCGTTTCTATAAATCTGTGTCTAATGTTTTAAAATCATCTACCAGATGGACATTAAAATAAAAATTAGTCATCTACCCTATTTAACACACAGTTCGCAAGTACCTAATTGAAATGGCCAAACAATAAAACAATGAAAACAAAATAATCCAAGGAATAAACAATTTAAATATTTAAACAACTGTTTCTATCCAGAAGACAAAACGAAATAACCCTTAGGTATTCCTTGGGATCTAAAGGGGATCTGTCGTAAAATTGGGTAGGTATTAACCTGTCGTAACATTCTACAAAATAAATTAAGTCCTTTACGGAGTATCAAATCTTAAAAGGTCTAATTGTTTGTATAGTCCATCTCAAAATTAAGACCATCAATTAAGAATTTGAAGTTTTCCACATGAATTTGTAAAATGGTTGACGTTTTGTTTATCGTTTTAGGGTAACCTAGAATGAGGTATCTCCAGGCCGTCGTTTGGTTAACCTCATTAAAATTTTAGGCTTTACTTAACATAATTTGCTAATTGCTGTACCCTGAATTACTTGATCCTTGAATACTATATTATCATGACCCAATAATATCAAAATATTCAAAGTTTGTGGAATACTAAGATTGACATTAAAAACATTAACAGTCCGGATATTTATATTGCTAAACTGATACTTCTATTAATTGTATAGGTAGCGTCATCCTCGCTAATTATACTAGTAGTAGGCACTAATCTGGGCACGCTGTCACAATATTTAAAGATGAACACATTCATAAAAAAAATATTTATACTCTATGGTCATCTCACTGGCAACATCATTGTACTTCTTTGTGCACGACCTGTCACGTCGTACCCTGGAAAATTTTTCAATTTAATTTGGTGATTTTCCTACTAAATGGGTCGAAAACGTCGCAAGCAGATAGGAAAACTGATGGAGTGTATGCAGGAATTGGATAATTGGGCGAAACCGGCGAGAGGACGCATTCGTTGTCGTCAGTTTGGTAAGTTTTTTCTTGTAGGTACTTACACCACATTGTGGGGCGTTTTCCAATAGCTTCCACAAGCGGATAGCCTTGAGAATGATTGTGTACGCAACATACACACTTGAAACGTACCATAAGAGCCCTCAGGAGAGGTGAGCCATTGGTTATACGTTTTCTATATACCTAGATTAAACCACAAGAGCCTTCACGAGAGGTCGGCCGTTGGTTACACATAACATAAGTAAGCATTTAAGTTAGGTACTTGTGTGAAACTCCTTCAAAGTTTCAATATTTGTTGCCTATCCTATTAAAGAAAAACCGCCGACTTGTATGTTGGTATCCAATAAATAATAATATCTTCAAGATACAGTTTTCCCACAACGTTAACTTGAAACAAAATCCCTTAGGAGCCACCTAATCTAAGTTGTAAGGATCAAAAGTTTTAATTATACGTCGATAGAATTAGGAGGAACATTCATAATATTAATAATACTGTTGCCAATAAAGGTAAGGTAAGTTATTATGTTTAATTTTGTTCCTGTGTAGTGCAGACGAGCGACTATAATATTATTAAGGAAACAAACTAAATGTTAAGTCTAAAGGTACTACGCTATTGTTTCCTAAATGTGACTTAAATATAAATTCATATTTTTTGCCTTCATGGTAAATTATGACTTTTGTGGAAGTATGTGAGTTATTATGAATCAAAAGAAACAATAATAATAATTGTTATTATCAGAATAAAATGTGGTTCCGACAATCCTATATAACACTTCTCATTACTCTATCTAAAAGGCAGCCCATCGAAGGATTGTTGGACATATAGATAGTACCTGGATGATGGAGCTTTGCTCTCTGACTTCTTGCTATACCTGAGGTATAAAAAAAAAGAAAAAATATAGAAAAAATTAATAAATAGATACAGATAAGACACATTAAGGCCGAGCATTGAACCCGAATGTCCTACGTGGAAGGCACTCGATATCCTGACTTTTAAACGTTAATAGTAATGGTGAAAAGTTTCTTATTTAAATAACATAACAGGAGGCTTTTATTCAATGAAAATACTGACTGAACAACAATTTCTGAAAATCAAACCTTATTACATCGATTAATCGTCCCTAAAACTTCACATTTACAAAATTTTAAGAAGATCGATATAGCCGTTTCCTACATCGTTGATATTACAAGAATTGATCGTTTAAAGGTATTAGATATTTTGCTTACTACAAAATAAAAAATGTGTTGAACTAAATTTAGTCGTAGTCAAATATCGTACGTCTAGACAACACAACACTACAATGCATGTACGCAATTAGCCCTTTATAATCCACGGGGAACCAATCGCGCCCTCTTTGTTTAATTAATTTCAAGTTCTTATATTATACTTATAGCGTTTTGTTGATATTTTGGTAAAGCGTAACCGAAATGGTTTATGACTTTGAGTGTAGAATTTTATCAATCATTACATAGTATAAAACAAAGTCGCTATCCGCCGTCTGTCTGTCCCTATATATGCTTAGATCTTTAAAACTACGCAACGGATTTTGATGTGGTTTTTTTTAAATAGATAAAGTTATTCTTAAGGAAAGTGTATGTATAATACAAGCATATTGCACCCGTGCGAAGGGGCGGGGCGGGTCGCTAGATAAATATAGTTAAACTATTTTGTTACAATGCTCAATGTTACACCCACTTTTCACTATTTATGTTATGAGTCCTATGTAATAGGGGTGAGTCTATTGCTATACACCATACATACACTTCTGACATTTTTTTTAAACTCAGTAACTCTTTGCCCGACGCGGTAATCGAACCCGAGACCCCTTGTCCAGCAGTCGAACTTGCGAACACTCAGCCCATAAGGCTATGTTTTATTAAAAAATAAAAGACTTTTGAATTACATATCAAATACAAACACGATCATAAACAATTTAGAATTATACCTCTACAATGTGCATTTACTTCCGTGCTCATGTCTCATTCAAGTAACTAAATTGTGAACCTGATTGAAAAAGAGCTTAATCTTCTCCACAGGAATCTACACCTTGGAATGAGCAAATAGCTTCACTTTTGATATTTTTTGTTGACGTTCAAAAGTGCCTTCCTGGTCTAATTGAAATAAATGATTTTGACTTTGACTTTGACTTTGAAAGGTTAAACATGTTAATTTCAAGCACTAAAGCTTGCTTCAGTTCAGCAATTGTCACTAACCAGCATATGTATCGGAATGATACTTAAAATTAGCACGCTTAAACATTTGCGAATAAACGAGCGTTCGATTTTAGAACATGCTATTTTAGACCATAAATACTACCCACGTCTATATGTACCTATAAATATTTCTATTCAAAATGACAGGATAAA